GTGTGGTGTGTGTGTGTGTGTGTGTGTGTGTGTGTGTGTGGTGTGTGTGTGTGGTGTGTGTGTGTGTGTCCCCAGACGTGATATTGCTGGAATATTGCTAAAAGCGATAAACTAAACTCACTCTCTCACTCACCTGGAACGTGGATATACAGAAAGTTCACCAAAATTCATGGCTTCAATGTACGATTTCATATTGCATTTGATCATTTAATTTGATCAGTGAAATGAAATACCAACTTTTCCAATCATGATTGAACACATTGTTTACCGAAACCATTATAGGTTTAGTTTGCAAGGTGGTAGGGTGCATTCAGTGCAGAGATGACAAGACTTTATGGATGTTCAACTTCTTTATTTTAACAATGGCGACGTTTCGGTATAGATTCTTATACCGTTTTCAAGCATACTTCTAGAATGCCACTCAAACAATGCATTCAGTGCAGGCAGGGCTTCTCAGAGAATAACGATTTACCAAACACAGACCAACCACTAGAAGGCAACTACAATATATCTAAGATAACTGCCACTGTCGGATGTATACACTGTGAGTTTAGAGTAGTTTGATCATTGTGATCAAACTCAAATATCCTCAGAGCTCAAGCAACAATATATATGAGTCCCATAGAGCGTGGACCGGGTTATTGGACATTCAATTCGCGCCTGCTCTATGATTGTGGCTATGTTGATCTTGTTAAACAAACCATACGCGATACTGTGTCAGAATACCATATCTCCGGAGATTTAGATAATTTCGAAACTATCAAATTATCAGTGAATGATCAATTATTTTTCGAGATACTTAATATGAATATAAGAACCAAAACAATAGGGTTTTCAATTCGGCGAAAAAAAACAAAACGAAAAAGAAGAAAAAAACCTAGAACGTGCAATATATGAAATGGAAGCCAGATATTCAACATTAAGTAGTGAGGAAAACAAGGACTTATGCTCGGAAAAGGAAAAACTTGAAATTATCAGAATTGCTAAAGTAAAAGGAATCATATTTCGGAGTAAGGCTAAATGGTACGAAGAGGGAGAAAAAAATACGGAATATTTTATGAATTTAGAAAAAGAAACTACATGTATGTCAACAAAAATATGGGTGAACTAATAACACCCACCGCAGTTTTGACAAAAAAGGAAGACATATTAAAAGATTCATCAAACTTTTATAACAATCTGTACAGTAGTAAACATACAAGTGGCTGGCAAAATAACATAGACCTTTTCACTAATATTGACGTCAAACATTCAAATGATAAACGTGAATTCTGTGAAACTGAGCTTACACTTGATGAATGTGCGCGAGCATTAATGAATATGAAGAACAGAAAAAGTCCTGGCTCGGACGGTTTAGTGCAGAATTTTATAAAAACAATTGCACAGATATTGGCGTAATTCTCTGGCGATCTATTGTGTACTCGTTCTTCCTGAAATAATAAGTGAAACACAAACATTTTTTTTTTTAAATAGATTTATTGGGGAAAATACTAGAATACTATATGATCTAATGCATTACTGTGAAGAACATGTTGTACCTGGCCTTCTGATCCCAATTGATTTTGAGAAAGCATTTGACACAGTTGAGTGGGATTTCATTGACTTGAAGCGTTTAACTTTGGCCCTGTACTCAGAAATTGGGTTAAACTTTTTCAAAGGAACAGCTGTAGCTCTATTATCAACTCTGGAACATTATCATTTTTTTTCACTTTAGGGCGTGGCTGTCGTCAAGGTGACCCAGTGGCCCCATACCTTTTTGTTGTTTGTGTCGAATTATTAGCTACAGCAATTAGATCAAACAAGAATATTAAGGAATTAAAATAAAGGACATGGAATATCTCATTTTTCAGTACGCAGACAATACAAACTTTACACTTGATGAATCCGAAAAGGGATTATTGGAGCTAATCTATGTTATTAAAAAATTGCTTCTGTATCCGGGTTAAATCTTAACTGTGATAATACCATAGCAGTATGGTTTGGTTCCAAGCGTGATTCTACTGAACAACTTTGTCCTCATATACCTCTCCGCTGGTCGAAAGAACCATTTAAAATTCTGGGTATACTTTTTTCAACTAAGTTAGATGAAATGATTCCACTAAACTTTGAAAGGCATTTTTCTAAAATTAGAAAAATACTATTTTTATGGTCGAACAGATCTCTTACTTTGAGAGGCAGGATTATGATCATCAAATCACAGATTATCCCCCTTTTTACACACCTTTTTATGTCGCTTCCCAACACATCTAAACACTTCTTTACACGTTTGAACTCTATCCTTTTTAAGTTTATTTGGGGTGGTAAACGCGATAAGATCAAAAGGAATATGTTAATAAATGACTATGCAAAGGGGGGTCTGAAAATGATTGATATCATATCCTTCTGCAACTATCTGAAGATCAAATGGATCAAAAGACTATTCACAGCAAAAGGATTATGGCAGCACATAGCATTTGAATCATTATCGCCTTTTGGCGACATTGATCTATTTAACTTTCAAGGTGAAAACTACTGTTATACTCCAAAAACATTAAAAATTACTTTTGGAAAGATGTCTCAGTATGTTACTCTTGTATTAATAGAAACCATATTGAAAACATCGGAGACTTTATTTGTCTACCAATTTTGAACTTTGTACCATTTGGTGACATAGGCTTGTTTATCTCGTGGTATAGAAAAGGAATGAAAAATATGCGGGACATCATATCAATTACAGGTGATTTTAAACCTTTTGAAATACTAAAAGTAGATTTCAATCTCCATGAAACATACCTTCTCTACTTTAGATTTCTGAAATACGTACCTAAACAATGCCTTAATCGTCTTAAGGCTACACCTATTGTTGATGAATTAGTTACAAGAAACTGTACTATTATTAAACATATATGTAACTCGGCTGATTGTAAATTTGTTTACTCACAGCTGTGTGACAATCATGGAATATCATTAGATAATCTTCAACATAGATGGGAATCCAAGCTTAATACTACTCTGTCAGAGAATTATCTCACTGACTGTTTTGCAATGATAAATACTATACTAGCCACATAAAGAAACTGTGCACACAGAAAATGCCTTCATAATTGGAATATAACACTGCAAAGACGAAATGATGTAGACACTTTATAAGCTGAAGTATCGGACCACAAGAAAATGTCAAAAGAACATGAACAATATCCGTAACGATGACGTCAGAAGTTCAAAATCGAGTAGGGGGTCACACGACGAAGTCACAAAATCAATAACGGGTATGACCACCGTGTGCGTGAAGCACAGCAGTGCATCGAAGACGCATAGAGGCTACCAAATGAACATTGAAGGCCTGAGGAATGGTCTGGGGCGCGGTCACTGCTGTCTGGAACCTGTATTTGAGATGAGTCACCCGAATCCACCTGTCCTGTCTTGGCGTCGTTACGTCGGGAACGCCCAGAACGTGGGTGGTCGGCGACGTCATTACTGTTTCGATAACGCCTGACCCATGCAGATATCGTGTTACGATGGCATTGGAAATGTGCTGCCACCTGTTGTTGGCTCATTCCTGCTCGAACCATTCCAATGGCTTCCTGACGTTGAGCAGATGTTAATCTTGGCATGATGTGCATGTGACTTCTCATGTGGATTTGTGAACTTTTGAATGACCAAAGATCAAGCTTTCGACAGTGACAGCAATTTCAGAGTTTCACATGTTGTGTGCAGCTGTACGGGCTGCACGTGCAGTAACACATTGCAAGGCCATAGGCCACCGTCAATGACGTCACGTCGCCTGGCACGTGCATGAGCGTTTGATTATCTCCAATACTTGCTATGTTCACAAATGTATTTATGTATAAATACGCTGTGTGCCTATATTTATATTTTCTGTGTGCATAGTTTCTTTATGTGGCCAGTATACTACTATAGAAAATAAGGCTAGGAACTTCCAGTTTAAATTGATGCACAGAATAGTTTCAATAAAGTCATTTCTATGTAAAATAGGTATTAATCATGATAATCTCTGTACTTTGTGTGGCCGACAAATAGAAACTCTTGAGCACTTATTATTTTGATGTGAGAAAACTAAACATCTAACCTCTCAGTTTACAAGCTGGTACAATTCCAAGGTTGGCGCTTGCCTCAATATCGATATTACTAAGTTTCTACTGGGGGACCCAGAAGAAGGTGTATTAGTTAATCATATTTTCATTAAAACCAAGGAATATATTAATAAAGTAAGATATACCTCCGCAGATTTATATTTTGATCAACTCTTCTAAAAAAACACTACCATTTGGAAAAATATATTTTCGAGGAACACCACTGTCTTCAAAGCAAAATGGTTATTATGTCTCTTTCAAGATGACTAAATTTTAGATTAGCATGGTGAGTTTCTCTCTTCTGCACCCTTACCTCTCACTTTCCATTACCTCTCTCTTTCCCCATCCTCTTTATTTTTTTTAAATTTTTATCTTCTTATTTTCATCTCAAGTTTTTAATAACGGCATCAATAATTCATCAACTGTAACATGTGTTAGGTTGTCTGTATTACCTTGATGAAATGTAGAATATCATGTACCATTATTAGCAATAAAGAAAAAAAACACCAAAAAACAATATACGAGTGAGTAAGTTTAGTTTTACGCTGCACTCAGCAATATTCAAGCTATATGGCGGCGGTCTGTAAATAATCTAGTCTGGGCCAGAAAATCCAGTGATCAACAGCCTGAGCATTGATCTACGTAATTGGGATACGACATGTGTCAACCAAGTCAGCAAGCCTGACCACCCAATCCCGTTAGTCACCTTTCACGACAAGCATGGGTTACTGAAGACCCGGATTGTCACGGGTCTCATGCAACAAAGATGCACAAACTCATTAACCACCACACTAGTTCATGTTTGGTGTTTACCGCAGCACTTACAGCTACTAGTATTTGACAGCAGTTTCATGCTAGTAGCCAGGTCAAGCAGTAAACCTTATCATGTAACTATGACAAAAAGACTGAAAGAAAAACTCACTTCAGTACATTTTTTAAACCTTTTATTGAATTTGTTTAACAGTTTCAAAGAGTCATGACAAAACATGACAAACAACATCGAAACAAATATATATCACATCACACATTAACATATAACAGTTTGATATTCTCCTTGAAACAAATACATATCACTTCATACATAAGAGCATCAAAGTTTGCACTTCTCCTGGAGTTTTTTCTGTTCTGCCATCACAAGTTTAATCTTGGCCAGATCGTCCTCGTCCGTGACAACCTTCACCTCCATTCCTGGGTGCTTGGTGCGGATATGTATTCGAGTATTGCCACAAATGGATGACCGATATGGACAGTGGGCACAAACATAAGGCTTAACATCCTTAAACAGGTGCTGATGCCTCTGGTGTTTGGTCAAACTGCTTGCAGTCTTGCCGCTGTAATCACACTGGGTGCACTTGAAGGATTTAGTCTCAGTGTGGGTGTATGACTGATGCGTTCGGAGACCTCTCTTATCTTTGTAGGTCTTCTCACAGTACTGACATGCGAACTGGCGAAGTTCTGAGTGGGAAGTGATAATGTGACGTCTCATACGGGCAGCAGACAGTGTTGAGTAGTCTGGACACTGGTCACAGAAAATGATGTCACGTTTCTCGAAGTCTGCCTTGAACCCATGCATCTGGTACAGGTGGTCTGTGAATATATGTCACATCCCAGATCAATAATTTGGGAAAGTATGTGCATGTGTGCATGTGCATGCGTGCATGCGGATACGTTTTTGTTGTTTCTACTGTTTCGTGTGCTGCCCCAGATGTACAACACGTCCCATGAACTCACAGCAGCAATATGCCCGCCAGCATTTGATCAATAACTAAACATCAGAAAGAAATGCAGCCACTTAACTCAATACAGTAAGTAAGTAAGCAGTGTTGTGGTTTTTTTATCTGTCTTGCAAGCTCTGCAACTGAATTTGGTAACAGTGATATATCTTGAGTCCATAACCAGAGGCCCAGATAAGCTGCGTATCCAGGTAAAGTATCCGGGTAAAATACGCATAGAAAATTTCCAATTATGCATTGAAAAATAATTATTGCGTACCAATTACGCATTTAAAATGTTAGATACGCAAAAAGTTTAAAACAAATGCGTATGGAATATATTTATAAAAATCGCTTGCGTAATGAAAAAGACATTGGTTGCTATCAAGTTGTACTGTTAGTATAGGACTAGTGTTGTACTGTCAGTACAGGATGAGTGATTTTTTATGAAATCATTTCCATTATATTTAAGTTGGTTTTGATTAGGTATGATATAAGGCAGAACATACCTGCTTAGTAAACTTACTCAATGACATAATACTTAGGTGAGTAAAATCACTGAAATACCCACATATTTGAAAGCAGTGGGTAACGGAAAATGAAATACCCACCCAACATTCATAAAACCCATTCCAAAAAAATACAGTGGGTACAGTACCCACATGAGCTAAATCTTATCTGGAGCTCTGCATAACACAATATATACAGCTGAAGGGAACCTATCTTGCCCTGGAATCCCACTGCAAAACATCTTCTCAGTATCTACAGCTTCTCAGTATCTACAGCTTCTCAGTATCTACAGCTTCTCAGTATCTACAGCTTCTCAGTATCTACATCTTCTCAGTATCTACAGCTTCTCAGTATCTACAGCTTCTCAGTATCTGAGCATCAGTATCTACAGCTTCTGTATCAGTGTGACATATGCTTTGTTTAGTGTATAGTTGAGGAGATGAGACGCACAGATCATACCAACTTTAGGACTTTATTATGTCTGAAATACTTTACTTTCATATAAGGAAATTCATTGACACAAATATGGTGTACTTCTGGTGACTTGTAATGATATTGATTAAATCAATTAATGCTGAGTGGTTACAGAAACAACTGATAGATCATTTTTCCTGTAACACCTGTTAGACAGAGATCAAAACAGAAATTACATGCACGAACAATTTGATGGCGTGACTACTATTAAGTACTAACTGAAAAGACATGATGAAGTGACTCGTTTATATGGTTTAACTCACTGCTTAAATCTATCTTTCTCTTGCTCTCAAAAGGGCACTTGTGACACTTGAAGCGTTCACAGTCAGAGTGCATCATGTCCAGGTGGATCTGTAGGGTGCCCTTGGTCTTGAACTCCGCGCCACAGACCTGACACAGCAAACTGGTGGCAGGCTGTGGGGAGAGGTGGACACTGTTCAGGTGGCGGTTCAGATACCTGTACACAACAACATGACAGAACTGTATACCTGGTATTCTTGGTTACCCTTTCCAACAATGCAGTTTCCCTTAAAAGTGGACTTGGTTCAGATACATAAAATACTGGTTGAACATTATATGTATGCATGAAAATAGGCTACCTAAAAAGGCTTACAACATGCTTGTTCATCTGGATGAGTTGGGTAAAGTAACATGAGCATCTCATGTAAGAAATCTCCTGTTTCCTCATGGTTATGGTTGTGTGTGGCTAAATCAGTCAGTTGGCAATGTGAATCTTTTTTGTATCAATTCCGAGAAACAGCTATCAATATATTTAATCAAAATTGGCATTCAGTTTTAGATAATAGCTCACCTCACAATGTGATTCTTACAGAAAGTTTAAAACCCAACTCCAACCTGAAAAGTACCTATCACACTTAACATCCAAAAAAGTTGAGAAATTCATTAATACGACTTAGATTAGGACTATCAAAGTTAATGATTAATGAAGGAAGACGTAGGTCCATCGACAGATATAAAAGAATTTGCCCGATTGTGTAAATTATCTATTGAAAACGAAATTCATTATTTATTTGTCTGTCCATCTTACATAGATTTACGTAAACTATATATTCCTGAATGTTACCTCTCCAAGTCACCTACTGTAGCATTTAAACAATTCCTGTCTACTTGTGACAACTGTATCAGCTAAAACTATCACAATACATCTACAATGCAATGTCTAAGCGTGATGCTCTGTTTAAATTAACTCTGTATTCAAGCTGTATGTGATCGTACAATGCATGTAATTCCAATGTATATGTGCCGGAGGCCTGAAATACAATAAAACATCTTTGACTTTTGACTTAGATACCTGCACACACCAACAGGACACTCTAAAGTCAGCACTGTAAACCTGGTATTCCTGGTTACCCTTTCCAACAATGCAGTTTCCTTATAGTTCAGGCTCCAAATAAATGAATTCCAAAATGTCTCCCAGAAATTGTTTCACAACAATGGTGCTTGTGCTTAAGATAGCAGCTCAGCTTCATGACTGCTTGAGAGGGGAGGTTAAAGCTTTCCTACTCATCATCACTGGGTTACTGAATATTGAAGATGTATACAGCTATAGGTACTGACTGTTGACACTTGAACTTGGCACCACAGTACTGACAGGGAACGTTCTTTTCCTTGCTGTGCTTGCTGATGTGCTGCTGCAGGTTGTACTTGACAACTGTGGTGTAGCTGCAGCCTTCAACCGGACACTCATGCACCTAGCAACATCAGACAGAGCTCAGTCAACAGACAGGGCAACATCAGACAGAGCTCAGTCAACAGACAGAGGGCAACATCAGACAGAGCTCAGTCAACAGACAGGGGGCAACATCAGACAGCTCAGTCAACAGACAGGGGGCAACATCATCAGACAGAGCTCAGTCAACAGACAGACAGGGGCAACATCAGACAGAGCTCAGTCAACAGACAGGGGCAACATCAGACAGAGCTCAGTCAACAGACAGGGGCAACATCAGACAGAGCTCAGTCAACAGACAGGGGCAACATCAGACAGCTCAGTCAACAGACAGGGGGCAACATCAGACAGAGCTCAGTCAACAGACAGAGGGCAACATCAGACAGAGCTCAGTCAACAGACAGGGCAACATCAGACAGAGCTCAGTCAACAGACAGGGGCAACATCAGACAGAGCTCAGCAACATCAGACAGCTCACAGACAGGGGCAACATCACAGCTCAGAAGCAACATCATCAGACAGCATCAGACAGCTCAGTCAGTCAGACAGGGGGGCAACATCAGACAGAGACAGAGCTCAGTCAACAGACAGGGGCAGAACATCACAGCAACATCATCCAGACAGCTCAGACAGCTCAGGGCACATCAGACAGACAGTCAACAGGGGGGGGCAACATCAGACAGAGCTCAGTCAACAGACAGGGGCAACATCAGACAGAGCTCAGTCAGTCAACAGACACAGTCAACAGGGGCAACATCAGGGCAACATCAGAGCTCAGTCAACAGACACAGGGCAACATCAGACAGCTCAGTCAACAGACTCAGTCAACAGACAGAGCTCAGTCAACAGGGGGCAACATCAGACAGAGCTCAGTCAACAGACAGGGGCAACATCAGACAGAGCTCAGTCAGAACAGACATCAGACAGAGCTCAGTCAACAGACAGGGGGGGGGCAACATCAGACAGAGCTCAGTCAACAGACAGGGCAACATCAGACAGAGCTCAGACAGACAGGGCAACATCAGACAGAGCTCAGTCAACAGACAGGGGGCAACATCAGAGCTCAGTCAACAGACAGGGGGCAACATCAGACAGAGCTCAGTCAACAGACAGGGGCAACATCAGACAGCTCAGTCAACAGACAGGGGGCTCCATCAGACGGGGCAACATCAGACAGAGCTCAGTCAACAGACAGGGGCAACATCAGACAGAGCTCAGTCAACAGACAGGGGCAACATCAGACAGAGCTCAGTCAACAGACAGGGGCAACATCAGACAGAGCTCAGTCAACAGAGACAGGGAGCTCAGTCAACAGACAGGGGGCAACATCAGACAGAGCTCAGTCAACAGGACAGGGGACAGACATCAGACAGACAGCTCAGGGAGCTCAGTCAACAGACAGGGGCAACATCAGACAGAGCTCAGTCAACAGACAGGGGCAACATCAGACAGAGCTCAGTCAACAGACAGGGGCAACATCAGACAGAGCTCAGTCAACAGACAGAGGGCAACATCAGACAGAGCTCAGTCAACAGACAGAGGGCAACATCAGAGCTCAGTCAACAGACAGAGGGGGCAACATCAGCTCAGTCAACAGACAGGGGGGCAACATCAGACAGACAGCTCAGTCAACAGACAGCTCAGTCAACAGACAGGGGGCAACATCAGACAGCTCAGTCAACAGACAGAGGGCAACATCAGTCACAGAGCTCAGCTCAGTCAACAGACAGGGCAACATCAGACAGAGCTCAGTCAACAGACAGACAGCAACATCAGACAGAGCTCAGTCAACAGACAGAGGGCAGACAGTCAACAGACAGGGCAACATCAGACAGAGCTCAGTCAACAGACAGAGGGCAACAGCATCAGACAGAGCTCAGTCAACAGACAGCAACATCAGACAGAGCTCAGTCAACAGACAGGGCAACATCAGACAGAGCTCAGGGGGTCAACAGACAGGGGGGCAACATCAGACAGCTCAGTCAACAGACAGGGGCAACATCAGACAGAGTCTCAGGGGTCATCAGACAGAGCTCAGTCAACAGACAGGGGGCAACATCAGACAGAGCTCAGTCAACAGACAGGGGCAACATCAGACAGAGCTCAGTCAACAGACAGGGGCAACATCAGACAGAGCTCAGTCAACAGGGGCAACATCAGACAGAGCTCAGTCAACAGACAGGGGGCAACATCAGACAGAGCTCAGTCAACAGACAGGGCAACATCAGACAGAGCTCAGTCAACAACAGATCAGGTCAGCAGACAAGGCAACATCAGACAGGGCTCACAGGACGGGGGGACAGAGCAACATCAGACAGCTCAGTCAACAGACAGGGCAACATCAGACAGAGTCAACAGACAGGGGGCAACTAAGTCAACAGACAGGGGGCAACATCAGACAGAGCTCAGTCAACAGACAGGGGGCAACATCAGACAGAGCTCAGTCAACAGACAGAGGGCAACATCAGACAGAGCTCAGTCAACAGATGGGGCAACATCAGACAGCTCAGTCAACAGACACAGATCAGTCAACAGACAGGGGGCAACATCAGACAGAGCTCAGTCAACAGACAACATCAGAGCTCAGGGCAACATCAGACAGAGCTCAGTCAACAGACAGGGGCAACATCAGACAGAGCTCAGTCAACAGATGGGGGGCAAAACAGACAGAGCTCAGTCAACAGACAGGGGGCAACCTCAGAACAGAACTGAATCTACACTCAGAGCAACCGAAGTGTAGAGAAGAGAAACTTTGGACATGAAACATGAGAATGAAGAAACATAGAAAATTAAACAGAGCTCAGTTAATATACAACAGCAGACAGCTCAGCGAAGTCAACAGTTGGATCAGTTCAAATTTCTACTGTAGAACATTCACATAAACGTTTCCATTAACATCACTCCACAGACTTCCTACAATTCCTATTCCACCTCACCTTAACATTACTGTCAATTCCATGTTGGACTTTCTCATGTCCCCGCTTCTGCGTCTTCTGTGCAAATGTCTTCCCACACACGCAGCAAGTGTGGAGGTATTTCTTGCGTTCTCGGTGGATACACAGCATGTGTTTGTTGAGTGAAAACTGCGTGCGGAAGTGACGTTGGCACAGCGGGCAGTCGAAGTATACATGTGGGTGGAACAGTTTCATGTGTCTCGTCATGTCCTTGACACTCGCCGCAGCAAAGCTGCAGCCCCCTACTCCACAGCGGGTCCAAATGTTTTCCATCTTGCAAAGCTGGAAAAGTTATGAAAATGTAGTTTTACCAAAATTTCTTCAACATTTAGACAATACCTTTCAAGACATGATTCAGGCTTCTCTCTTAGGAAGGTCCGAGCTTTAAATTAATGAACACATAACACGTTCAACATGACTTCCAATACTCTGGGCATGGGTAAACAAACAATACCTACCTGTTCATTAGTGTACCCGTGTGTTTCTACCAGGTGATTCCTGAACTTCACCCTATATACATATGTATCCCCACACTCTGGGCACTGCAGAGGGGCAGCGGATGAGGGTGAGGGCACAGAAGGTATATCCCTCTTGTCCAACTTCAAGTGTTCTGAGTTTGGCTCTTGCTCTGTCTTTGTGGTAATTATTTTTAAAAGTGGATTTTTATTGTGTCTCTTTGATGAAGACAAATGAAACGAAATATTGTGTGCTTTCCATTGATTATAACATTTAAAGAAATGTGGACATTTCCTACAAAGAAACGACTTATTATGCGTCTTTTTATTTATGTGGAAATATGGTAGAGCTTTGATAAAACTGTATTTCTTGATAATGTTTTGTGCAGCCCAAAACAAAGATTTAAGAGAACTGGCAACACACTTTGTCTTGCCACGGACAGATCTTGAAGCTTCCTTATGCATAGACTGCTTTTTTAACATTCTCTTAGCCACCACAACACTACTAATCTTTTCTGGCTTCTCACTTCCTTCTGCAACGATATTTGTATCTCTTACAACATGTCTTTTTAATTTAGCAGTTTTCGGTCTGGCACATTTCCTTCCTTGATACTTTTTCCTTGATTGTCTTTGTGTCTGCATCCTTTCTAAAGGATCACTCTGAACAGGAGACTCTCCGGCAAAGAACATAGGTAAACCATGAAACTCTGAAGTCTGGTAACCTGACCCGCTGTGCCATGTACAATCAGCTCCTCTCACAGTGTCAGTAATGAGTGTCTGGGAGGAAAGGTTTGGTGGGTGCACAATTTTCTCTGTGACATCAGTCGAGGCAGCAAATCTTTGGACATGCTCTGTCTGCTTTGGCATTTCATAGGGATCTTCATCAATTTCTACTTTTATTTGTAAATTCTCAGTTTGACTTGTGGACATACTGTAGCATCTGGGCTGGTGTATCTGCAGCAGATGAACTAGGTGAGTGATTTGGAGTGACTTGGCAACAACAAGGATATCCTCCCACTCATGTGGTGCCACCTGCAGTTCGCCAGTGTACAGGAACTCAACCAGCTTCTCCAGAATGCCATACGACACATCTAAAACAAAACAGCCATATTTTTTTAATAAAGTACACATTCTAGTTCTTTTGAGGGGGAAGTCCCTCTCAGAGCAAGGCACTTGTTACACTTGGCCATGGGATCTGCGCCAACCTGCACTTACGAGACAAATACACAAAGCATGTGACCATGCCACACAGTCGGACTTCCATGTTTATGAGGAAGCATTGGTAGCATAGTGAGTTAGGACCAGCTGACTTTGTGTGCTTGTAATGAGACGCCTTTCTCTGAGAGTGTGGATTCTAATCCTGGACTTCTGCCCAAAATGTACATCTACCATCATAGCCCTTTCCATAAGGCATGATCTAGTCATGGTTATTACTGCTGTATACATCTAGCTGAAACACTTGGACATGAATGCTACCAAGCTTAGAATACTGGAACAAGGGTTCGATGCCATCCAGAAATGTACTTCCAGTACACACAAATGTACAGAATGGATGGAGAAAAGCTAATACATAGAAATAATATTATTCACTGAACCAAATTCTCAACAAGTAATATATATACAGTCAAATCCCGATGAGTTGAATCTCTGGGGACCAAGTAATAAATTCGACTTATCGATGTATTCGAGACATAGGTATATCTATGAGGGTAGAAAAAAAGATGATCCAGTCCAAATTCCTCCACCTAAGCATATGTTTATCTAATGATTTCCCTACCACTAATAGGGGCACCTTATCAGTTCCAGTCTGATTAGCACAGACAGTGATTTCTGTAAAATCACTAATCTGCCTTTTGAACTCACCGTCAAAGGCGGAAAGGTGTGAGCCGGGCTGGTTTGTTAATTGGACCAGTTTGCTACACCAATCAACTTCTCATTGACTGACTTCGGCTTATGTATACAAGATTGCTGTTGTTTGAATCTCATGGGACCAAATTTCTTCTCGAGTCATCGTGTGTATTTATGAGACGAATTCGTGTAACCGGTATTCAAATGATGACAACTATAACAGGGAATGGTCGGGACTGACAGGTACTTCGAGTTATGCATAATGTTCGAGACACCGGCATTCGACTCATCGGGATTTGACTGTATATACATAGGTCTTGTTATAAACATTATCATTACATCTTACAGTAAACTGCCCTACATCATAACTTCACAGGACCCTCATATCTTCAGGGAGGAACCTTGAAAATAGTCAAACATTTTAAGGGGTCCTCTGGACTCTTAGTTTTTTAGGGCAAGGCGAAACCTGGGAACTGAATGTGACTGAATGAACAGTTGATGTCAAACGTTTTGTTTGTTTGATGTTTAACGCAGCACTCAGCAATATTCCAGCAATATGGTAGCGGTCTGTAATCAAGTCTGGACCAGACAATCAAGTGATCAACATCATGAGCATTGATCTACACAACTGGGATATGATGACATGTCAACCATGTCAGCAAGCCTGACTACTCGATCCTGCTAGTCAATAGCATGGGTTGCTGAAGACCAATTTTAACCCGTTTATTCACAGGTTGATGCTAAATGCCAGAGCCATAGTATTAAATGTCAGAGATCTGCATCCCTTTTGACAATCATCCCACAATGAGCTGACGTGCAGTGATGTAACTGGAATTCGGTTCACAGCGGCATCAAACCCAACTCATACATAAACATCAAACGCTTGTCTCAGGACCATAGGTACTATAAACAATGCAGAGCCATTTCAAAAATACTTCTGAAAAAAGGCAAACATGACTTCTTTAATAACAGGCCAGGATCGAGTCATCTTAGTATCACTCTGACTATGTGTAAGTTTGCCTACCCAACTGCAGGCTTCCCCGATCAGGCCAGAGCACATTGTGGAAATATTCGGAGCTTGCAAAGAGGATGAGCTTGTGGACTTGAAGATGATTCCCCTTCCTGTCTATGAGGACTGTGTCAAAATGTAGATTGAGCTTGTAGAACTGATACAGTTGGACACCAATCTTGTTGTAATGTTCAGAATCTCTCAGACATGTCTCATCTTCCATTGCTGTCAACCTGCATAGTAAATGAGATATCTGCACTTTCTGGTAGAGTGTCAGTAGCATAGTTAAAATAGTAACTTAAAACAGTTTTCCAGGACTGAAGGGCACAGTTTAGAAAGTTGACGTTTCTTCAGAAAATGGTAAGAGTTCCTCCCGTTCCCCAATCCCAAATAATATTTATAAATATACTAAAATTATTAACAAAACTTAACACAATTACTAGAGAACTCACCCCCTGTTATTTTTTTCATCACCTAGGTCATGGTTAAGCAAACTGATATGACACACAGATTAGTTGCAATTATTTACTGCATCTAGAATCTTAATGTTGTTCAACTACTTGAACTAGTACCAGAGACCATATAATATCTATTATATGGTCTCTGCTAGTACTAAAGCCAAGGGAAAAACAACATCTTGTGTTTATGTTCTGTATGAAACAGTAACATGATTTGATTGATCCAAGGCCTAAATGATATTCAAAGTGTTATATATTGGAATCTACAGAATAACCGCTGATATTTCACTGAAGAAATGCCAAGTCACTAGCATCCACCATATTGGTCTACACGATACTGAGGTGGTGGATAACAATTAGCTGGTTCCCAGCCCTATCAGCGCGTTCTCAACTGCAGATGTGAGGAGACGGGGCCTAGTTAGCTATATCCCCCGGTCCAGCGGTCTCGCTATGTACAGTAACTGTTCCGTGAATTCCCGTTATCTATGTCATATTACCTCAAGGTAACCAGCGTTGAATATTGGCTTCGATTATCTCCCTTTTTCGACCATTTCAACTACGCTGATGTGAAAACACATGCATCGATGCAGCTTTGTTTACAATGTAGAATCTTCCAGGCAGCTGTGCGCCGCTGTCGATTGTGTCAGATCAAAAGAGTTGTCTCCCTTGGATCGGTTCCCTGCCCGTCTCCGGATTTGAATTTACTGCTTCTGCAAGTTTTCTTTTGGTGAGGTCCTGGTGGTTTTTCGATAATATCTCTACATTGTCCCAAATTATGTTGTGAGTGGGACAGTTGATGATGTGGTCTGATAGTGCTGATTTTCTGTCTGATTTAGTGGTAGATGATAAGTGTTCTTTGATTCTGATATTTATGGGCCGTGAGGTTTCGCCTACATAGGCCTCGCCACACTTATCATCTACCACTAAATCAGACAGAAAATCAGCAATATCAGACCACATCATCAACTGTCCCAATCACAACATAATTTGGGGCAATGTAGAGATATTTTCGAAAAACCACCAGGACCTCACCAAAAGAAAACTTGCAGAAGCAGTTCAAATCCGGAGACTCAAGCCCTTTTGAAAATGTTATTATTTGTTTTTTATTATTGGATATTTATATAGCGCACATATCCAGGCAACTACTGTGTAGTGCATGCTCAAGGGGCTGACTAAAGACCACCTTTAAGTTAATGTTTTGCCGATTCTCACAGCCGATTTAAAACCCAAACTGACTAATTGCAAACCACTGTAATATTTCCACATATCACAGATGTCTGAGCAGGCTCAAAGTTAACAATTCTTAACATCAGTTCAAACCAAGACTTTACATACACATATATTCACCTTCCTCAATACGGTAAATAAGTGTGCAACAGTCCGTCTCCATGAACTTCGGTACTCTCGGCAAGTCGCATCACGGGCTCTCACAAGGACATCAGGTTGTGTTGAAACCTGCCTTGACAAATACACTTGTTTGGATATGTTCATGTGTATAATGTCACTCTACACTACGCCCTAAAACAATGCTGAATCCTATACCCACAAAAACACCGTATGTATTCCTCTAGAGCTTTCACTTATACAGGAACAAAATGATTAGTATTCAATTAGGTGAAAGTCATAATATGAATAATAATGAGAATATTTTTAACGCGTCTTTTCCAGGCTAGATATCCTGCTCAAAGCGCACAATCTGATCATTATTACCCTGATATCCCAAACTGACTGTTAGGTGCTAGAAGGTTAATAGTCTCACGACTTATTTCACCGGATACCCATTTACTGCTGGGTGAACAGATTCAATTTTGAACAAACTCAGTTGCCTAAAATGAAACCACATGCATCACATGTGCTTCGTTGTGAGGCAGGACTGAAATACTAGAAACTCTCAAGAGTCAAGTTGCCAGACACGGTTACCCATCCAAGGACACTCCGCGCCCAAAGTTGCTAAGGTAACTTCAACTGATTGTGACAGGACCACACGCCACGACAAGTGAATACGTGTTGTTTTATGCCGTATTAGCAATCTTGCAGTCTTTCGGGCGTCGTATCTATCAAAAAGTCTTAAAGGTAGTCATCGAGCATAGTCCCAACCGCTGTTGTACACCCTATACAAACCATACCTTAGCGTCCTGCCTGTCCTGTATTATTCATTGGGCCCCTTCCACCCGCAAGTCCTAACAGGTAATTAGAAGAATATTATAACAACAAACATAGAAAGTATGACAAAGATGTGAGCTCCATGGTGTATCCCTATTGAATTATCGAGCCCACAGCAGGCAAACTAGGGGCTAATATTCTGAGCATACCCCCATCCTATCGGGGTATGATTACACACAATCTGCTGAAAGGTACATATCCAGGCCTGCCCATGTTCAATAGTCCACTCATTGTCACAATAAGATCAAGTAACAAGCAGTTACCCGGTATATCTTCACCAGTATCAGAGAAACGTTCTGTTGGAAACATTCTGTTAGTAGTGAGCAACATTGACTTATGAAAGTCGTTGTTTCATTTGCTAATACGAAACTAGGTACACTGCCAGTTAAAATGTGTGATTCATATGTCCCTAATATATACAGGATATATCCATGATATGTCCCTGATATATCCCTGACATACCTCGAATGGCAGTGAGGCCTGCGGAATTGCGAAATAGCCGGACCCGCTTTTTGATCCACCATTGATCGATTCAGCAAACAACAGCCTAGTTTCCGAGAGATATTCACCCGTGTTGGGGCAACGACGTGGATTGCGGTCCCCCATGATGTGGTCATGTTGTGCAGACATTGTCGTTGCTAATACTGCAGACAACTGGGTAGAGTAAGCGTTCAGTTGTGTACTGTATGTTAAGGTAAGCGAATGTATTCTGTGTTCCTAATGCACTACAACGGGTCATAGTTGAAAATAGTCTCCTGTTGTTTCACTCCGTTTTGTTTGAATGTTTAATGTCACACGAAACAAGCTTGCTTGGATCTTTAATTCACATCACGTAGCAGCAGATATTCATCTTTCATTTGTTTTTTCCTTTGATTAGATTCTATGTGAAATATATGTGTGTATAAAAATGAATGATAAATTATAGTGTTTTTAAGTATCATATCATATTTTATATTTTATTATTCTATCGGGCAGCGTCGACCTTAAACTATAACTTAAGCATAAAATATGTCTGTACAGTACAACCAGAAATTATTGAGAATTTAAAGATTGTAATTTAAAAAAAATAAATTCACTCATTACTCACGTATTAAATGTGAATATTACCAGAACATAACTCCAGATTAAAAGACAGGTGAACAATTGATATTTTGTCAAGTCACCATGGGCAGCAATGCAGGCTTCAATGCGGCGGGGCATACTACTGATCAAAGAAGTTAGAAAGTCGTGGTCCATGCTGTCCCAATATCGGACCACCTCTTCTTTTATTTCAGCAATATTTGTCAGATTTTTCTTATTGACATTTTCCTTCATAAGTCCCCAAACATTTTCTATTGGATTTAGGTCAGGGCTATAGCTTGGCCAATCTAATAATGTCATATTTTGGGTCCGAAACCAGGCCTGTGAATGCTTTAAACGATGTTTTGGGTCGTTGTCCTGCTGGAAAATCCAAAGGTTTCCATAGAACACGTGAGCAGATGGAAGTAAATGTCCCTCGAGAATATCTGTGTACCGCTCACTGTTCATATTCCCTTCAAATACACAGAGGGGCGTTGCCCCTAACACAGATATGCCACCCCACACGTTAAATTTCGGACTGTACTTTGGGCGCTGATACATAGGTTTTTCAGTTTCTTTGTTCCAGAATTTCAGTGTATTAGGAAACAGCTACACAGAACGTTTATGTGAGAAAATCACATTGTCCCAGTTAAAATGTCTATGCTGTAAGCACCAGTTCAACCTTCGCTCCTTTTGTTCAGGTTTCATGATCGGTGATGGAATTCCTCGACTTTTCAGCCAACCCATTGCATGCAGCTCAGTTCTGATTGTCTCCTTACAGACAGGCACAGTTCCTCTATCAATCATTTCCAGCCTGAAGTTTTCTAAACTCCTTCGTTTGTTTTTAGAAACAAGAATACCAAGCCGCCTCCTGTCACCGACAGTCAATTTTCTGGGCCTACCTGCGCCTCCCTGGTGCTCAATGCCATATCCATTTGCAATATTTTTTCAAAACACGATAAACAGTGGACAAAGGGATGCCTGTTCTACTTGAAGTCACTTTAGCTGATCTGATGTCCTCGTTATAATACTCTAAAATCAACTTCCTCTTCTCTAAATCATCCATACTGAGGATCACTGAAAATGTCGTCTGCTAGCAAGTAAACAAAGGGGGATAACTCTTCACAAACTACTGAAAAAGGATTAACGGAGTTGTCTCTCTTGAAAGAAACCAAGCACTTGATAGCTGGTCAAGGTTGTTAATACTAGAAATCCAATTAAACATATTCCTAAAATTCTCAATAATTTCTGGTCATACTATATGTATGTATGTATGTGTGTGTGTGTGTGTGTGTGTGTGTGTGTGTGTGTGTGTGTGTGTGTGTGTGTGTGTGTGTGTGTGTGTGTGTGTGTGTGTGTGTGTGTGTGTGTGTGTGTGTGTGTGTGTGTTTTACGTGTACGTATGTATCATTTCACACTGAGGAGCAGGTTCACTAAAACTTTGATCTTGTCACATTTAAATATACACATGCACTGTTTCTTGCTTCCGTTCCACAGCGTCTCGGTGTGACGGACGGTTGGAGGCATGGCGGTAGCCGTGTTGCAGGTTCTGTCAGCCTTGGTAGTCCGTAAGTATCCACCCACTGTCAACAGTCTCTACGCTGTGACTTATATCTAGTGCATGTGGGGATTCCAGGCTAGAATAGGTCACCCTCAACATGCAGTTGGTCGACAGAGGCGAATGGGTGGATCGGGTGGCCATGCCTCGGAACATTGTGGACTGAATGTCAAACTACCGCGCCTGTTTGAAGGTCCTGTACAGGTCTCCGTCATGTAGCTGAAATATTCCTGAGTTAAATATGTAAACTATGTATATCTTTTAAATTTTATCTGTATCTTGCCGGTCTGTCCTTTGGACAATGAAGGCACCGGCTTTGTATATATACTCTAAAAAATAGTAGGGAACTCAATTTTGATTTACAATGGAAAAAATGGGAGATATTAATTTTGATATGACCATAATAAATGTTTTGAGAGTACATCACCACTTGCACATCCTTATGACCATAGTTGTTTGTACAGTAATCGCTCTTAAAAGAGGATTGGTGTATGACGTGAAATTTGCATGTGTACGATTTCCATTTTCAGAAAATATATTGAACTTCAGTAACCCATGCTTGTCGTAAGAGGCGACTAACGGGATCGTGGCGTCTTGCTCGCTGACTTGGTTGATACATGTCATCGTATGCCCATTGTGCAGATCGATGCTCATGCTGTTCATCACTGGATTGTCCGGTCCAGACTCGATTATTTACAGACCGCCGCCATATAGCTTGAATATTGCCGAGTGCGTCGTAAAACTAAACTCACTCACTCACTTTCCCCATCATGACTGGTTCCATAGTGTCAGGACTGGCACAGGGAGGACCCGAGTATGTGGCTGTGTTCCGTTACCCCGACGAGGCGGAGTTGGACGCCCGATCTGAAAACTGTATTATTTGTTCAAGGTAAGATAAATTATAATATCTACATTTAGATGTTGTGGTGGTACTATCGGTCACTATCACGTTCTGTGTGCTACTCATATGCCTAGTTTACGATCATGACAACACACATTGGAGGATCCAGAGGGGGGTGCAGGGGGTTCGACCCCCCTTTTGAAAATGACTTAAGACCACATTGATGATTTTGGAGATAACCGCCACCCCCACCCCCACCCCCCCCTTTCAAAACTGCTGGATCCGCCCATGCCACATGACTCTATTATCGCCTTGTGTGTTATTCCTTGATAGCAGTGTGAGACAGTTATCTTCATTTCACCGACACGTGAAGATCTGAGTTAGAATTGATCTTCAGTAACCCATGCCTGTCGCGAGGCGACTCACGGGATCGAGTGATCAGGCTGGTTGACACATGTCATCGTACCCCAATTGCGTAGATCGATATTCATGCTGTTGATCATTGGAGTGTCTGATCCAGACTCGATTATTTATAGACCGTGGCCATATGGCTGGATAAATGCTGAGTGCGGCGTTAAACAACAATCACTCAATCAGTCTTCATTTCCCCACAGAACGCCAGTGTATAGAAGCGGGGTAGTATTCAGGGCTGCTAATGACGGAGACGTCATTGTGCTGGACTTCGTCTCTGTGGCAATGGAGACGTCCAACTGTGGGTCACACTATATCCATGTATACGATGGTATGTTGAATATATACACCATGACGCCGATTTCCATGTGGAGTATATTTTGATTAACACACAGTTTCGTAGCTCAATCAACTCAGGCGGGCATTAAGATTTCGTTTATCACTTAAAAGCAAGGCGTATGTCATTATTTTGAGTAAAAATCAAAACCACAATGCCAATGTACCATTTGGTCATGTGTCACGATGGTAAGATAAAAGTATACGTATGAGGAAAGTATATTCTACTAATGTACATCTTACGTTGATATTTAGGGGTTGGGGGTTGGGGGTAGCCTAGTAGTTAAAGCGTTCACTCGTCACGCTGAAGACCCCGGTTCGATTCCCAACATGGGTACAATATGTGAAGCCCAATTCTGGTGTCCCCCGCTGTGATATGCTGGAATATTGCTGAAAGCGGCGTAAAACTAAACTCACTCTCTGATATTCTTCGATGCGTCAAAACACAGAAGCCGTTGAGTCATATTTCCTCCTGTTCCCAGGAACGGATTACGACGCGCCTCTTCTTGAGACGGTGTGTGATTCCCAGAAGATTAAAGTGAGAAGCACCGGGTCAACAATGGCCTTGTACTACACTTATTGGGACTTCCACTCCTCTTTCAGATTAAAGTATTACAGTAAGTAACCGCTGAATAATGATTGTCGACATTCATGTTCTAAACTGAAGAGTTTGGTCTGTTTGATAAAATGGCACCGTCAAGATGTGATGATGTTGGTTACAATATCAACACTCCACCATTGCCAGACACATTAACCTGATCACTTCATTTACGTGAATCACATATACGCTCACACACGAAACAGTTAACTTTACTCAATCAATAATTCATGCATGTTGAGGGTTTTGCTCGCTGTGATCACTAATCGATAACATGTGTTTTACCCCAAATGGATAATGGTGTTTTGTATCGGAGGTAGCTTTATAGTTAGAATATGTTGTCATAAAATATAGAATTACTGAGGGACGGTGGGATATCCAAGGAGTTAAAGCTTTCGCTCAAAACGTCGAAGATCCGGGTTCGATTCCCCACATGGGTAGAATGTGCGAAGCTCATTTCTAGTGTCCCTCGCCCTGATATGGCTGGAATGATGATAAAAGCGACATGAAACTGAACTCTTTCACTCACTATTAAATGATGCTTATTGCTGTATTTTGAGATCAATATTTAGAGATTTACGAGAAACTGCAGAGGTGTGTGTGTGTGTGTGTGTGTGTGTGTGTGTGTGTGTGTGTGTGTGTGTGTGTGTGTGTGTGTGTGTGTGTGTGTGTGTGTGTGTGTGTGTGTGTGTGTGTGTGTGTGTGTGTGTGTGTGTGCGTGTGTGTGTGTGTGTGTGAGAACGAACCATCGGGACGCGCCACTGTAGGTAGCCTGTTGTTCTCATGACGTAAAAATCTTAATTTAGTCATTAACTTATCGGAGGGTTATTACATATTTAAGCAATAAAGTTTACGCTTACAGATTCATACATCTGATTGTGACAATTGAGTGACATTTCAAACTTAGTCGACTATGAAGTAGTCATGATTATATGAAGATCAAGAACCTCAAGCGTAAGGACCACTTAATCAGAACAGTACTCTACACAATTCACTACCCTTAATGCACACCAATACGCAGTGTTATTACAAAGAATATGGTCGCTGAAAATGACAATTTTTGTGCATCTCTGAAATTCAATGTCTAAAAGTGGATCCTCTCAAATCATGATTATTCGCTATTGATAACTTTCTTACAGGTTATGAAGGTCCAAATTCATCCTCATCATCGTTACCGGCTTCTACCATCGTCGGCATCGTTGTAGGTGCCATTGTAGTCGTCATAATCCTAGCAGCAGTTGGAGTCTGTCTGTCAAAAAAGAACGACCGAAAAACAAACCGCCAAAGAAACCGAAACAGGAACAGCCGCATCGGACCCATGCCAAGTGCACCACCAGCAGCTGCAACAGTGGGACGGCCTGGGTTGTCTTACCCCCTCAACTACACTAACCACGCCCCCTCAGACAACCACCAACCCTCGCCTTTCGAGAAGGCAGCGATACAAGGCTTGCAGAGCTATAATGTTCCTCCCCCTGCATTTAGCTACAACGCCCCACCTCCTTATGATCAACATGCATCGTATCCTCATTAATCAGGTGTGCGTGCGTGTGTGTAGGTGTGGGACTGGGGGGAAAGGGGTGGCACAGGCCCTCGTGTCTTTGCGAGGATTAATTATTAAAAAATATTGTTTTTGAGATGACCCCCGACTCAAAATGCTTCAAGGTCACATGCAACCAAAAAATCAAACATAATTAAAACACAATTATCACTTATTCATGACATAATATACATTGCTGGTTATGAAAAAACATATAAACAAAATTATAAGCGTACAATCGCAAATCAAAAGTGCAATATTGTGTACTTCAGTTTACTTCCCAAGAAACGAAGCAGCCGGGATACCGAACCCAGTCAGAGCGGGTGGGTGTGCACTCAAGTGTAACGGCTGGTTCATTTGCAGATGCCCTCACGGGCTATTGTGTGTGTATATATAGAGATGTTGGGTTTTGTAAATACATGCTCATTTTTTGTGTATAACATTTTGCAATCAACAGACATCATAATATGTCATGTGTTCAAGTATCACACCTGCCTGTCTGTGTAATTACATAATGTGACAGAGACCGAACTCGGGCCATAAATCAATGCATTTTGTTTATGGTGTATAGCCTGATTGGTGTTAAGTTCAAATTGCATGTGGTCAGTGATGGCAGCTGTGTATTGAATATTGTCATTAGCAGACAGGCAGGCAGACACACAGGTGTCAATAAAACAAGACATTGAGTTTTGTCTGTGACAACGACATATCTATATCACAGTTGGAAATTCTGTCAACACTAAATAATGGCATTGCTTTTAAGTATCGAACTGAGAAAGTGACTCGGTAAGAAGAAGGTGTGGTGAAATAGACAAATGAAATTATATTAACAGTTAATTTACTGTCATAACATATAAAAAGCTCGCGCCTGTGAGATATCAACAAAACATTAGAAAAATAGCTCACACCAAAGCCTTCACCGAGTATTCACCGGAAAACCGCTTCCAAGCTGCGCGAACCTACTTCACTGCTCACGTGCTATAAGCGCAGCCCAGCTGTTGAAACCCGTTTTCCCCAGAAAAGTCGGGGGAAAATTAGTGAAACGTTTGAACTCCGATTTCGCGCGTTTTTTTTCATCGCGTTATTTTTCAACTTTATAAGTTGAATTTGCATTTTTGACGATTTGTTTCGGTAAGTCCATACCGAAAGGTATCAGAATCTGCAAAGTTGTGTTTTACGTTGCATGTGACCTTTCACAGAACAATACATCATAATGTATTACCTTTACAGAACAATACATCAAATGTATTTACTGTGAAGTCGAGGGGTCATCTCAGATTTTTGTATATATTTTACAAAATCTTTAATCCTCGCAAAGACAGGAGGGCCTGTGCAGGAGGTGGGGGTGGGTGGGGCAGGGTGTTAGGGAAAGGGGGTATTGTTTAAAGCCAATATTACCACTATTCCAGCATTTGTTCACACATTGTATCAAAGCCAGATATCGTCGTGCCGGGGTCGTGACGAGGGAATGGTATAACCTATATAGACCGACCCTCAGCCGTAGAAAGAGAGGGTGGGATGGGAACAGAGGTAGAGAGAAGGCGTGTGATGGGATCAATGTAAATGGTTTATCAATTTACAGATATTATACATGCTACGCCATGGATTATAAAAAAGGCGTGTATATTTATGTTCTAAATGTATATAAGATACTTCTGTATAAAATCGACAATACAGCAGCATACCAACCCCAGTGCTTATATAATTGGCATGAATGTGCGCAATATTGCATTGCGGAGTGGCATACGTTTGTAGTGCAAGGATCCACCGAGCGCGGGCTTTACTTTCACTTTTGGTCTGATTATTGTTTGACAGCACCTGTCCGTTTAGCTTTGAGATTTTGACCGCATAACACTTTCGTTCTACTTTTTTCAACCAATAACGTGTAGATTTAGCCTTCTTGTGTAATAATAATTATTATCAATACTATTTACCAAACTTATACCTTCGTACTCATAATGCAAACAAAAATAGCACCACGATTTTAAATGACCTTTTAGTGATGTACATATTAATTACAGGAATTGCGACATGTCTCAGAGTCTTTATCTTCATAACGTTAGGAAAATATCTTTTCATCATCAGAGACAGTTGTGGAAAGTTTAACAAACTATGATGCGGTATATGTCAGTCTGTGTGTATGCAAGTAGCTGGACATATTGTAGATATCTTTTAGACATGTACAGTATATTGAACATAAATGTATGCTCAGATTCAGTGTGTGGCTTGTGTTTATCATCATTGCCATGCCACCTCAACACCAACCACCGGACACTGAAGATCTGGGTTCGATTCCCCACATGCGTACAATGAAGCCCATTTCTGGTATTCCCGCCGTGATATTGCTGGAATATTGCTAAATACGGCGTAAAACCCAACTCACTCACTCACTCACCATTTATGATACTGAATGTTGTTGTTTAGTTTGTAATTGTGATCATGATTTGATGAACTGAATGCAAAGTTGATTCCTAGAGTTGATAAGGAGTTACAACGGGGCAAATATTATTGTTGAAGCAAAACATTACGTTTGACTTTGTAGATTAGTAAGGATCCAAAGAATGTGTTATTTTGTCTAAAAAGGTTTTAGAATGGTTGCAGCTGATATGTATCATCAAAGTATAGTATTGTAGCAATAGGTTGAGGTACAACAGGTATAAAGCATTTGAAAGTTTAATCGAATCTTAGACGTGCCTCACCCTTTGAATAGATAGAAAACGACTTGATACGTCGAGGAAATGGTTTTGGAATTGATTCAAATTTACGTTTATGCCCTCTTTGCAATATTGGGATAAAAGAAATTGTTTTATTTTAGCTTGAAATGCAATTTTTTCACTCTTCTGTGTGCTGACAATGTATTATATTTCGAACATTTCGAAATATTTAGTATAATTCTCTCTTCAAAATGTGTAAGGTCATCAAGAGAATTGTGTGAATATCTATTTCCAAGTTATCACATGAGACGACATAATGTCCCAAGACAACCACACACTTCTGACAACGACGCATCAAGTCCTAGATGTAGAAGTACCAGGTAAAGCTACGTTTGGCATTGTGAGGAGGAAGGTACCCCTGTCAGCTACCCTGAAGCTAGCCGAACGGTAACAAGATAATCTGTCAGCTATCCTGAAGCTAGCCGAACGGTAACAAGATAAGCTGTCACCTATCCTCAAGCTAGACGAACGGTCACAAGATAAGTGTCACCTATCCTCAAGCTAACCGAACGGTCACAAGATAAGCTGTCACCTATCCTCAAGCTAGACGAACGGTCACAAGATAAGTGTCACCTATCCTCAAGCTAACCGAACGGTCACAAGATAATCTGTCACCTATCGTCAATCGCTAGAACGGTCACAAGATAAGCCGTCACCTATCCTCCTCGCCAAGCAAGCCGAACGGTCACAAGATAATCTGTCACCTATCCTGAAGCTAGCCGAACGGTCACAAGATAAGCTGTCACCTATCCTAAAGCTAGCCGAACGGTCACAAGATAATCTGTCAGCTATCCTGAAGCTAGCCGAACGGTCACAAGATAAGCTGTCACCTATCCTGAAGCCAGCCGAACGGTCACAAGAAAACCTGTCACCTATCCTGAAGCTAGATGAACGGTCACAAGATAAGCTGCAAGCAAGATAAGCTGTCACCTATCCTGAAGCCAGCCGAAGGGTCACAAGATAAGCTGTCACCTATCCTGAAGCTAGATGAACGATCACAAGATAAGGTGTCAGCTATCCTGAAGCCAGCCGAAGGGTCACAAGAAAACCTGTCACCTATCCTGAAGCTAGATGAACGGTCACAAGATAAGCTGTCACCTATCCTGAAGCTAGATGAACGGTCACAAGATAAGCTGTCACCTATCCTGAAGCTAGATGAACGGTCACAAGATAAGCTGTCACCTATCCTGAAGCTAGATGAACGGTCACAAGATAAGTGTCACCTATCCTCAACCTAACCGAACGATCACAAGATAAGGTGTCAGCTATCCTGAAGCTAGCCGAACGGTCACAAGATAACCTGTCAGCTATCCTGAAGCTAGCCGAACGGTCACAAGATAATCTGAAAGCCATCCTGAATAAAGTAAGCCGAACGGTCACAAGATACCCTGTCAGCTATCCTGAAGCTAGCTGAACGGTCACAAGATAAGCTGTCAGCTATCCTGAAGCTAGCCGAACGGTCACAAGATAATCTGACAGCAATCCTGAATAAAGTAAGCCGAACGGTCACAAGATAAGCTGTCAACTATCCTGAAGCTAGCCGAACGGTCACAAGATAAGCTGTCACCTATCCTGAAGCAAGCCGAACGGTCACAAGATAATCTGATAGCTTTCCTGAATAAAGCAAGCCGAACGGTCACAAGATAACCTTTCACCTATCCTTAATAAAGCAGGCCGAACGGTCACAAGATAATCTGTCACCTATCCTGAAGCAAGCCGAACGGTCACAAGATAGTCTGAAGTTTACTGAGGAAACAAAATGTGATATGTTAGACTTCCTCGTTGATTGTATCTTCGTAAAATATGAGGTACTGAGGCAAGAAGGAAGCATCTGTTCTTCCCTTCTTGCAAATATGGTTGATTTAGATAATTTAACGTATATATTCTGAGCCAAAAGCAAAAAATCAACAACAACAAAAACAAGGCAATTTGGCGAAGAAGTTAAACTTAAGGTCAAGGTATATTGATATGATATCAAATAACCAACCCCTTTTCACTGGTTTATCCATCTGAAGTAGGAATAAAGGGTAACAGTGAGGTTGTCTCTTCATAGTTAGATGTTTGCATACCACTGTACGATAAGAGGAAAGATTTCAACTTTCCCTGCACACTGGACAACGTTCCAATAGCTCAAGCCGCTGGCGCCAAAAAAGACCGTTTGAGATACTACCGAACATGTTTTGTCAGCGAAGAGGTTACTCGACTCGGTCATATCTTGTTACCTTGCTTTTGTAATTGGTCCTAAACAACTGTCCTTCGGGACTGAACAGGTGTATGTTTTGTTTCTCTGCAGTTTTCTTAATTTTATTCATTTCACACATTTTGGTACCTGTGCATGTTGTTA